AGCTTGTCACGCTAGAACAATTACGACTGAGTAGTTAGTTCGATCCTCACTGGGTGCCCCTTACTTTCGGCCTTGTGCCACATCCAAGTTACTCTTGCAAAATCACTGGGGCACCGCGAAGCAGTGTAATGGTTAGCAGACTTGTCTTGCTAGAACGATTACCACTGGGTAGTGAGTTCGATCCTCACTGGGTGCCCCTTACTTTCGGCCTTGTGCCACATCTAAGCTACGCTTGGAAAATCTCTACTAACACTCTTGTTTTGTATATATCTATTATTTCAATACACTTGTTCAACCTAGCTTCGTATTCCGTGTCTATCTTTCTGGCCACTAAACAGGTCACAACATTTATATTGTTTCCTTTTTCTTTTTTTTTTTCTTTTCTTTTTTTACAGTAAGGTTCACCCTGTAGAAGGCTCGGGAGCCACTTGGTGCAGAGGGTTACGTTAAGGGGAAATTCATTATGGATAGGAGAAGAAAATAACGGTTGACTCTAGACTTGAACAGGTTAAGGTTGTAATGATCGGGGAAACATCCTCTTGGGAGTCGGTTCCACTGGGCAGTGGTTCGTAGGAAGAAGCTACTTGAGTAGAACTTACTTCTCACCCTCATTTTTTTTTTAAATAAGGTTCAACTTGTACAAGGCCCGGAGGCCACTCTAGGTAGAGCTTTACATTAAGAGGTAGTTCATATGGATAGGAAGGAAAGATAACAGTCAATTCTAGACTTGAACAGGTTAAGAGTGTAGTGATTAGGGAAACATCCTCTCGGGAGACTTTTCCACCGGGCACTGGTTCGCGGCAAAAAGGTGTTCGAGTGGAGCTTACTTCTCCCCCATCATTTACACACACACACACACATATATATATATATATATATATATATATATATATATATATAGTAATAAAGTTCACCTTGTACAAGGCTTGGAGACCACTCGAGGTAGAGAGTTACGTTAAAGGATAGTTTATATGGATAGAGGGGGGGGAAGATAACGGTTACTTCTAGACGTGAATAGGTTAAGATTGTAGTGATTGTGGAAACATCCTCGGGGAAACATCCTCTTTGCCGTCTGTTCCACAGGGCAGTGGTTTGCGGGAAGAAGCTGTTTGAGTGGATCTTACTTCTCGCCGATGGGATGCGGAGAGAATCTGGATGGCTTGCTACTATCTAAGTGGCATGTCGGGCTCTAGCTGTGTAGGTTAGACCTACCGGAACCAAGGAATGTAGTTCGTCCGAGCACTTTCCATGGTAGTAGCGATAGAGCAGTGAGAGACTCGCCACATGCCGCCTGTGTGAGAGAGAGAGGTTGAAGTTTGGAAACTAATTCTTTTCCAACAAGGACTCGTAGACGCTTTTGACCTATCAAGACTGGAAAGTGAGGTCTGGGCAGCTCCCGCACAAATATGGCAACAGAACTCCATTTTTTTCGGCCTGGCCTGGTCTGGCCTGGCCTGGCCTGGGCTGGTCTGGTCTGGTCTGGCCTGGTCTGGTCTGGCTCTTATAAAGGCAGAGGATAGCATGAGGAGTCAGGTCCTTACTGGAGGGTTACAGGGAGCCGATCATTTTACCTATATGTTTAGCGATGGATCACATAAGAGTTCCACTTGAGGCCGGGTGTGAGTTTGAGGCTCAATAGTCTCTCAAGGCACGGGGCCGCCTCGAGAAGACATCCGTTCATCACGATGTGGCGGTAGTTCGGGGTCTGCTCCAGGGAAGTTTGTGTTAAATCGGAAGAGAGGTCAGATGCCAACCGCTACTTGAAAGAATACTCTATGATATGAAATACTTAACTAATCCAGAGTTGATTAGGGCATTTAGTATTCTTCGTTATATATATATATATATATATATATATGTGTGTGTGTGTGTGTGTGTGTGTGTGTGTGTATGTATATATATATATATATATGTCTATATATATGCATATATATATATATGTATATATATATGTGTGTGTATATATATATATATATGTGTGTGTATATATATATATATATATATGTGTGTGTGTGTGTGTATATATATATATATATATATATGAATGTATGTATTCTTATTTAAATTTTTCATTTTTATATTCTTATAAAATCTACAAGATTAAATTTTGTCCATCGACCGACCAGGTTTCAAGATTTACACTGAATTTGTTTCTTTAATTTTTAAAATGATCTCAAATAATCTGTTAAATATTGTTTTTACCTGTAATCAGATAAATTACACTACCTGTAAATCCTTGTTGTGTGTGTGTGTGTGTGTGTGTGTGTGTGTGTGTGTGTGTGTGTGTGTTGTTTTGTTCTTATTGCTGATCAAGAAGATTCTCTGAAATTTACAGATCTCTGAAAACACGTAAAAATATTCAAAATGGCGTCTAAAAAGGAATTTTCTTATTTTTTGTATTTTTTTTTATATTCTTTTAAACGCTAAGCAGTCGCGATACAAAGCGAACGTCAAGAAACACTTTAAAAAAAAAAAAAAAGAAAAAAAAGAAATAAATGAAAAAATGTTTTCCTTTTCTCTTCCGAAACAGTAGAGTGACTAGTCTTTAGAAAGCTTTGACTTCATTCTTATTTTTGTTGTTAGTACCATGTCTAGACATCTACTTATGTGTCCGGAATTTTCGAATTATGTTGCCGGGAGATGGAGAGAAAGGCAAGGAACTAATCCTCAATATCTGTAAAAGAAAGAGAATATATAAGTAAATGAATGAAAAAAGAAACAAAACAAACAAACAAAAAAAGAAATCAGACAATTTTATGTGCAATTCTTGGTTGTCAAAATATTCACTTTCATTTCATGCCACATTTGCATCAACATCATCCTCAGACGAAGGACCGAGTCAGCCGACAGTGTGCCGAAAAAAGAAAATTCCTGTTTACTTATTACTTAAAATATATTTCAGTGAAAGTAAATTATTGGAGGGAGAAAAATTGTGCTTCAAGATGGTTCTCATTTTCTTTCTTTTTTTTTATGTACTTAAATTTCACTTATAACATGTTTGTTGCTTTGATCGTAATACTACAGCTTAGACACGATTAATACTATTACTATAGTAACCATAATTGATATTAATTAATCTTGTAGCCATACGTGCACTGGAATGCCTATAGATGCATTCCAAAAGCTAAACACATTCCAAAAGCTAAACACATTCCAAAAGCTAAACACATTCCAAAATCTAAGCAGAGTCCAAAATTTAAAGTACTAAGAAACAGTAAAATTTCGTTATAAAGAAAACGGTGCTGAACTGCTATGTAATATCAATCCTCGTATATGGCAGCGAATGCTGGACAATTTCCTCAGACAATTTCACAGACGAGAGGGAGATTTAAAGTAACGGAAACAAAGAAAATGGTGCTGAACTGCTATGTAATATCGATCCTCGTATATGGCAGCAAAAAATCAACAGTACATTTTTGTAGTACAATTACCACCAATAGATTTTTATTTTAAATTCCCAATATTTCATCATCTCCAAACTCTATATCTAAAAATTATTTACAAAATATCCGTAGTTAGAGGCATAATATTGCGCACAAAATTATTTAAATTTCAATATTAAATGACCCATAGAGGTGTTGATATGCCACTAACTAATAACAACCAAACCTTGTGATTTCACTTTTCCCGCTGAACCAGACTGTACGCATTTGACAAACATAGGAATTGAACTTACATTCACCGGATAACTAGATGCACTTACCCATAGCTTTTATTCACTTATCTAATAAGAGACAGCGGGATTTTGAAACATGAAATATAATGCCTATTCTTTCCATACCAAAGGTTCCAATATGGTGTTCAATTTTATGTTTGGCCTACTGAGAAATTTATCAGAGCTTAGTATGTGTGCTGATCCTTTTAATCACCGTATTTCCATTTTAACTTCATTCCTGAGGAGTTGCTGACCGAACAGTTTTTCTCTCTTCACATGATCAGCCATGCCTGATTTTATTCTTTCTCCACGGAGTACGGTTTTTTGATGTTCTTCAAGCATTTGTATTTCTTGCTACAACAGTATGGACTGATGTAGACGCAGTTCTTAGTTGTGTCCTCATCAGATGGAGGTTTAGCTTTTGCGTAGTGTGTCCAAATGGTTTGGAATACTGCCTTGATTCTGGGTGACCCGTTGATTCTATGAATCCTATACGATATGTCACTGGTCTAAGGTAGAGAGATCGAGGAATTTTCCTACTACTGTTACTCACCCCATGATCGTTGTTCTCGTCGTTGTTACTCTGAACGGCACCCCTACTGCCTTCAGTTTGAATGCTTCTTGATCACTATTTTCGGGTGTGTGGTTAGAACATTCGCTTTCTGACCACGAAACCCGGGTTCGAATCTCACCATTATCGGTTTATCAGGGAGGTGTTTTTTCGGCCTGCGGATGCGATCCCAGCGGGCGGTACCATTGGAAAGCGGTCGAAAAGCATGCCACAGATTAACCCAATCCTTGTGAGAAGATAGAATTCTTCAAAAGTCATCAATTGGGTATGACGATAAACTACATCTGGCAGCAAGACCTCTGATAGGGATAATTAGAGCTTTTCAGGAGGGTGAAACCACCTCTTAATTGCTGTTATCCCCAGGTCCACCCTCACCCGAAGTGTCTGAGCTTACTGGCCGTGTTAAAACTCTCTGCAACACCCTGCGTCTTAGTGGCATTATCGCCTTGCTTGAAAGGAAACGATTAAAAAGCTGTATAGATGATGATTTCCAGAACGCTATAATTCTCGTTGTTTTTCTCGACGATCATGGCTCTTCACAACTTTCAATACCTTGTAGTGTTTGTCCCTTGGCCAAGCCTCTCGTTCCTCGTTTCGTCAGCGATTCCCACTCGTCAGGTAAGTGGCTCGCTGCTATTCCCTATCTCTCTTGCCCTCAATATGCCCCGTGAAGATTAAATTCTCCAAACCTTCCTTTCGCGATATGTATCCAATAAATTTCAGCTGCCTCGCTTTCTCGAAATTGTTCTATTTTTTTTACCATTTTTGTTTAAGACTTTCTCGTTTCTTACGCGCCCCGTTCATTATTTCGATCCTCGCTGTGGGCATCGATCTAAAGAATTCTTTATTTAGCATAGGGTTTCTTTACTTTTATAAGAGCCTCAAGAGTTTAAAGCTTTTTTTTTAAAGTAGCGTAATATATATTAGAAGTGAATTCTAGTAGAAACATTCTTGACTTGTTTTTTTTTTTGTTTCTAATTTTGAAAGTGTCAGATCTTGATAATGACTAAGTGTCGTGTACAACTGAAAGAATTAAAATGAAAGCTGCAAAGAGAGACAGAGATAAGCTATTTAAAATATTTCATGTGTGGTCTGTAATAAAATATGTTCTAATGAAAGATTGCTTCATAAATACACATTATATATATATATATATATATATATATATATATATATATATATATATATATATATTCATGAATTATTCACAAAAACAAATGCAAAGGTTAATATTTGAATTGTTTGCGACGATGGATTTCTCGCCAATTAAATCATTAACCTTTGCATTTGTTTTTGTGTGAATAATTCATGAATATGTAAATTGATTGCACGTTTATATATATATATATATATATATATATATATATATGTGAAGAAATATAGTTTTAATGTGTGCTACATTTACGGGATAAAGTGCTCAATATCAGAGATAGAGCGTATGTAAATATAAATATAAAATTGAACATTGAGGTCAACACTCAGAGGCGACAGGCTGTTTCATGCTAGACGCAATCGTTAGGCCGCCAGACAATTGCGTCTAGCATGAAACAGTCTGTCGCCTCTGAGTGTTGACTTCATTATCCACTTTTTATATATATATATATATATATATGTGTGTGTGTGTGTGTGTGTGTGTGTGTGTGTGTGTGTGTGTGTGTGTGTGTGTAAAAATATATAGAAAATAGGAAAGAACTTGTTAGGTAAATAATCCCAAATTCTTTAGTATTTTTATTATTATTCTAAAAAAATAGTGCTCGATACAAAAGTAGAGCATAAATACAATTATTTATTTAAAATATGATTAGCGTTGGAATCATATTTTAAATAAATAATATATATATATATATATATATTTTTATATATATATATATATATATATATATATATATATATATATAATAGATAGGAAAAAGACAATATCCATAAAGGCATTTTAAAAGCAAAAGCTAAAAATAAAAAACAACCGGTTTCGTCCTAGGACTTATCAGTTTATTTATTCTGGGAATTTAAAAAAAGCGTGTAAATTAATTTTTAATTAACGAATGTAATCGAATGGGATAAAAAAAATTATGAATTTCAAGAAACTAGAGTCCAATAATATCAGACCCAGCAAGCATTCCTCTGTTTACAAAGGGAAGGCTCACGGGATCTGATATACAAGGACTCTAGAACCTTGAGGTGAAATGTGAGTGGGACCTAGATAAAATTATAAATCGGTCACCACTAAAATTTTCCACATTTCCTTCTATTTATTAAATGTGCAGCAATAGCAGAACCAGAACTGTTAGTCAGTTGGCTATTCCTGGAGGACGGATTCAAAATCCTGGACGGTAAAGGCTGTTTTATTCTCGAATCCAAACGCTGGGACGTCCTCCCTATGTAGTCGTGTCACAACTACACTTATATATATATATATATATATAGTCTTAAGTTGTGCGATATTTATGGATAAAGTTCTCAATATCAGAGATAGGAAGTTTGTGTGTAAATATAAAGTGAACATTGAAGTCAACAAGGCGACAGTCTGTTTCATGCTAGATGCAATCGTCAGGCCTGATATTTGCGTCTAGTATGAAACAGGCGAACTGTTGACTTCAATGTTCACTTTTATATATATATATATATATATAAGTCTCTAACACTAATATTCCATATACCATATATTCACTATCTCTCTATATTTCTGAGATGAAGTATTATGTACACTATTTACATTATTCCGACTATTTTCCCATCCTTCTTCAGGTGGTTGGAATGTCGAACTGAACCCTTTATTTCGCTCACTGGGGTAGACTGTTCTAGTTCTACGTGCCATAATTAATGGATGTCAGTTATCTCCTGTTAATTCCTCAAGGGACATGGCACAGTAGATAAAAGCGTTAGTTAGATCCAGTGACAGGATCCAAAAGTGTGAGTTCAATAGCCGGTTAAGGCAGTGGAGAACTTGGAGAGGTGAATATCAAAGAGATGAAATTTAAATTTTTATTATTGCATTATCCCAAAATTTTAACACATCAGCAGATCGCTAATAATGCCAACAATTGAGCATAATTAGTTACTAATTTTAAAAATTAGTAATTACTGTATAATATTATCCATAAGGATATCATGAACCGAGCAAGTGAGCAACGATGAGATCTTAGATAGGTTACAAACAAGGAGGGGCTTATACTTAACATCAGAAAAGAGGCAGCTGAAGTTTCTGGGACACATAATGAGGAAAGAGGGCCTGGAGAATCTGATACCCACAGAGTCAAAGAGGCAAAGGAAAGCAGCCGCGTGACATACCTGACGAGCTTGAACAGGTGAATGACAGAACGTGGTCTGGGGAGGAAGCGCAGGGAAGTAATTTGCTGAGGCTGCAAGGATTTGGAGCCTCGCCACGTCATTAAAGAAGATGACACATAAAAGAAAAGTTCACTAGATGAATGTTAGACGATTTCCTCAAGATTCTTGGCAACGGAGATGTGGTTCTACAGAAGGATGCTAAGGAATATGATGAGCATGTGAGCAACGATGAGGTCTTAGGTTACAAACAAGGAAGATTTATACTTAACATCAGGAAGAGGCAGCTGAAGTTTCTGGGACACATAATGAGGAAAAGGGCCTGGAGAATCTGATACCCACAGAGAAAGGCAAGGGAAAGCAGCGTGTGACATAGCTTGAACAGGTGGATGACAGAACGTGATCTGGGGGAAGCGGAGGAAGGAATTTGCTGAGAGCTGGAAGGGATAGAGGGAGGTAGTGATCGCCTAGGGTCCTTAAAGGACATGGCGCATAAAAAGAATAGGGTTTCTTTACTTTTATAAGAGCCTCAAGAGTTTAAAGCTTTTTTTAAAGTAGCGTAATATATATTAGAAGTGAATTCTAGTAGAAACATTCTTGACTTGTTTTTTTTTTGTTTCTAATTTTGAAAGTGTCAGATCTTGATAATGACTAAGTGTCGTATACAACTGAAAGAATTAAAATGAAAGCTGCAAAGAGACAGAGATAAGCTATTTAAAATATTTCATGTGTGGTCTGTAATAAAATATGTTCTAATGAAAGATTGCTTCATAAATACATATTATATATATATATATATATATATATATATATATATATATATATATATATATATTCATGAATTATTCAAAAAACAAATGCAAGGTTAATATTTGAATTGTTTGCGACGATGGATTTCTCGCCAATTAAATCATTAACCTTTGCATGAATAATTCATGAATATGTAAATTGATCGTTTATATATATATATATATATATATATATATATATATGTGAAGAAATATAGTTTTAATGTGTGCTACATTTACGGGATAAAGTGCTCAATATCAGAGATAGAGCGTATGTAAATATAAATATAAAATTGAACATTGAGGTCAACACTCAGAGGCGACAGGCTGTTTCATGCTAGACGCAATCGTTAGGCCGCCAGACAATTGCGTCTAGCATGAAACAGTCTGTCGCCTCTGAGTGTTGACTTCATTGTCCACTTTTATATATATATATATATATATATGTGTGTGTGTGTGTGTGTGTGTGTGTGTGTGTGTGTGTGTGTGTGTGTGTGTGTAAAAATATATAGAAAATAGGAAAGAACTTGTTAGGTAAATAATCCCAAATTCTTTAGTATTTTTATTATTATTCTTAAAAAATAGTGCTCGATACAAAAGTAGAGCATAAATACAATTATTTATTTAAAAATATGATTAGCGTTGAATCATATTTTTAAATAAATAATTATATATATATATATATATATATATATATATATATATATATATATATATATATATATATATATAATAGATAGGAAAAGACAATATCCATAAGGCATTTTTAAAAAGCAAAAGCTAAAATAAAAACAACCGGTTTCGTCCTAGGACTTATCCAGTTTATTTATTCTGGGAATTTAAAAAAGCGTGTAAATTAATTTTTAATTAACGAATGTAATCGAATGGGATAAAAAAAATTATGAATTTCAAGAAACTAGAGTCCAATAATATCAGACCCAGCAAGCATTCCTCTGTTTACAAAGGAAGGCTCACGGATCTGATATACAAGGACTCTAGAACCTTGAGGTGAAATGTGGAGTGGGACCTAGATAAAATTATAAATCGGTCACCACTAAAATTTTCCACACATTTCCTTCTATTTATTAAATGTGCAGCAATAGCAGAACCAGAACTGTTAGTCAGTTGGCTATTCCTGGAGGACGGATTCAAAATCCTGGACGGTAAAGGCTGTTTTATTCTCGAATCCAAACGCTGGGACGTCCTCCCTATGTAGTCGTGTCCACAACTACACTCATATATATATATATATATATATAGTCTTAAGTTGTGCGATATTTATGGGATAAAGTTCTCAATATCAGAGATAAGGCTTGTGTAAATATAAAGTGAACATTGAAGTCAACACTTAGAGGCGACAGTCTGTTTCATGCTAGATGCAATCGTCAGGCCTGATATTTGCGTCTAGCATGAAACGTCAGTGTTGACTTCAATCACTTTTATATATATATATATATATATATAAGTCTCTAACACTAATATTCCATATACCATATATTCACTATCTCTCTATATTTCTGAGATGAAGTATTATGTACACTATTTACATTATTCCGACTATTTTCCCCATCCTTCTTCAGGTGGTTGGAATGTCGAACTGAACCCTTTATTTCGCTCACTGGGGTAGACTGTTCTAGTTCTACGTGCCATAATTAATGGATGTCAGTTATCTCCTGTTAATTCCTCAAGGGGACATGGCACAGTAGATAAAAGCGTTAGTTAGATCCAGTGACAGGATCCAAAAAGTGTGAGTTCAATACCCGGTTAAGGCAGTGGAGA